TGGGAAGACCAGAAGACGGGGGGAAAGAAGAGGACGGCAAGTCCGATGGTGAGCTAGACTCTGGTTCTTCCGGAGAGGACTGTCAGAACAAGGGGCAGCAGCCCCCAAAAGTCCTTATAAGCTGCGGAAGAGAAGGGGAAAGGAAAAGTAAAGGCTGAAGGACTCTGAATTGTGCCTTTGAGATTTTTGATATGGGATGATCAGGGGTACTGTTTCTAGACAGTTAAACTTAAGCTTTAAAGGGAAAGTATTATAAATGTTTGACTCAGTTTATAAAAGGATTAACGATGGGAAGATTTGATGTAACTAAGCTTGTTGGAGGATCTCCTCTCTTGGGTTTTTAGTTAGTAGTGGGTTCTTTACTTTATCCCGTATATGTCGTTCCCCTTCCTTTTTCTTCTGTTGTACTTTTTGTAGTGGTATAAAAAATAATAAAAAATCCCCTCCGGGGGCTTAAAAAAAAAAGATCTCAGAAGCTAAGCAGGGTCGACTCTGAATGGGAGGCTTCCTTGGAATACCAAGTTGAGAGAATAGGGCCAGGCTTTCTTCAGCCCCCTCTCTGAATATCCTCCAGGCCCCCCAGTAGGGGTCAGACACCAGAGGTCGCCATGACTTCCAGGTGCAGACATACACACACACACACACACACACACACACAAAGAAATAACAGGGTGTAAACCCTGGATATTACCTTAACTATGTACTTATGTCAATATCGTACAACAAAATCTGGCAGCAGCTCTCCGGGGTCCCAGGCAGAGGTCTTTCACGTAATCTACTGCCTGGTCCTTTGAGCTGGAGATGCCGGGGATTGAATTTGGGAGACTCTGCATACCAAGCAGATGCTCCCGCTCCCCACTTGCACCACCAGGCAACTTTAGGAAATTGCATCCAGGATGCCTTGCAGTATGGCAGAAAGCACAGACGGTAGACTGCTTTGTGAGAGCTTAGATGTGTCATTCATCCAAAGCCACACATAAAGCCATTATATGCTGACTGCAGAGATATATATCCTAACTAGCTGCTTCACTCCAGAATCTTGGGAACACAAAGGTCTTTCCCAGTGGTTGAAACCGGAGCTCCTTTTGCTGAAGATCCAAAGACTGAACTTGGGACCTTCCAGACATACTGCAGATGCCACTGATCTCTGCAAACATATAAAGTTGCCGTATACACCGTCGTACCACTGGTCCCTTGGGGCTCCGTATTGTCTGCTCCCATGAGGGAAAGATCCCAGGAGGAGGAAAACACATGGACCTTCCTTATACCCAGAGGTCATTTCAGGGGGTGAACGCGGGGGAACGCAGTTCCCCTGGGTGAGGTGCAGGGGGCGGGGCACATGACAAAGCCCGCCCCCTGCTTCCGGCCGCCCCACTTCCGGCCCTCATTCAGCCAGGAGGAGGCAGGAGAAGAGGGAGGGTAAGTTGCTTCCTCCCCGCCTCTCCCCACCCCTGCCTGCCTGGGGCCAGGGAGGGCCTTGGCGGGGCTTCCTCGCACTCCCGCTGGCCTTGCAGGACCACCGCCAGGCCCCTGATGTCAGGGGGTGTGGCATATGCTAATGAGTTATGCTAATGAGTTCCCCTAGCTCTTTTTCTATGAAATGACCCCTGCTTATACCTAATCAGACCATTGGTATGAGCCAGCATGGTGTAGTGGTTAAGACAGATGGACTCTAATTTGAAGAACCGGGTTCAATTCTGCAGTCTTCCACATGAAGCCAGCTGGGCGACCTTGGGTCAGTCACAGCTGTTTCAGATCTCTCTCCTCAGCCCAAAAAATGTCTAGCTGACCACCTAGCAGTGCATAATGCTAAAAGTTAGAACTTAAGGCTGTCAGACAATCTTCAGATCTCCTGGCTATACTAAACACAGTGCCATACGATAATAATAATAATGATAATATATTATTATTAGACCATTGGTTCATCAAGGATACTATTGTTGGCTCAGACTGGCAGCAGCTATCCAGGGCCTCAGGCAGGGGTCTCTCACATTACCTGAGACCTGATCCCTTTTCAAACTGGAAATGCCAGGGATTGAACCTGGGACTTTCTGCATTCCAAGCAGATGACCCTACCAGTGAACCATGACTGCTACCTAAGATGCTTTAATGGGACAGACCGGGGATTGAACCGGGGACTTTCTGCATGCAGAGCTTGTGCTCTGTCACAAAGTCACCACCATCCCACAAACTCCTGCAAAACTAGCAAAGCAGATTTAAATCAGATGATTGCAATGTGCCACATGCAGGGTCATCTATGAAAAGTTCTTGGAAATATCCATCGATTCAACATGCAGCCTCCCCAGTTGCTCTCTAGGGCGAATCCGCCTTGATCATATTACTCCCTTTTTTAATCCAGTATCACCAGCTTCCAATTTCATTTCCAGGCTCATCTCCAAGTTCTGGTTTAAAGCCTGAAGCAATGGGGAACCAGGATACTGGAAGGACCGTCTTCAGATCTGAAGCGCTATTGAAAATTTACCTTATATCAACATTCAGCAAGGCCTTTTCTGTGACAGCCCCAAGATCCTGGAAGTCCTCCCATAATGCAAATACAACAGTGAAAATGTTTCTTGTTTTGTTAGAACTTAAGGTTGGTGGGTTAATAGATCGAAGTTGCTGGGTGGGATGGATGCAGATTGGGGGGGGGGGGGGAGTGCCAGTTTGTATTGCTGGACTGCTGTTCTGTTGCCTTAGTTACATTTCAATATATTTCCTTGTGAACTGAGATTTCAGAATAATTTAAGCTGCTTTGTGGGTCTGTTCCCTTGCAAAAAGCAGAATATAAACATTTTAATAGAACACAGAATTAAAACTATTTAACCTTAATGTTTATGCATGGAACCATGAGAGAGGATCCATGAAGCCACTGAGTACAGCTGCTATCTGTACAGCTGTTATCTTAAGACAATCCCCCTTACCACCATCACCGCCAACAACAGATGCCTTATTTTCAGCCAGGTTTGGCCTTACAATTTGTTTTCAGTTCCAGGGTCCAGCCCTGGGACACGTAAAATGTTAAAGTGTGCCTCTGAGAATGTGCAGAGTGTTTCTCAATGAACACAGAGAGCCTGCATCAAATGTCCAGTACTGAAGTCTCCTAATTGCTATAAGTCCTGCGGAGGACTCCCTGCATCCCAGTCTTGAGATTGCTTCTCTCGGACAAATGGAAACTGAGCCTAACTTCCCTGAACCCTGTGTGAGCACTAAGTCTCCACCCTCCAAGATGGAAGGAGGATGCCTGTCATATCTCTGAATGATTCACTGCTGCCGTGTCTGCTTTCAGTTAGCATCAGGTGCGATGGATGTTCTCTCATCACAGAAACACTGCAAAGTTGCCCACCCTACAGTCTGTCTGTCGCTGCTCTGCATTCTTCCTTTCTTCAGGGTCACCTCCTCCTAATTGTGTAGACGAAATCAGGGGGTGGGTGGCTTGACAGCCATACCCTGTAGGTCAAGATGGGAAGAACCAAGAAGGTTCTCCCAGCTCCCTTGAATCAGAGCCGTCTTGGAATTCTTATCACACTATTAACTGTGATATATTCAATTTCCTTATCAGATCTGCCACCCCAGTTCCAGAATGCAGACAAGTTTTTCATACATCACACTAGGGATGCCAGTCTCCAAGTGGGACTTGGAGATCTCCAGAATTACAGCTCATCTCCAGACTACAGAGATGGCTCACACATTTTTGTCTTAGCTCAGGAAGGAGGGCTCCAGAGGACCCTAATTTATGCAGTAGCCAAATTGCTTGCTCACAACTTTAATGCCAGTAGCTCACCAAGTAGAATTTTTGCTCACAAAACTCCACAGCTTAGAGGAAGCATTGGACCTCTCCCAATCTGGTCTGGTCCTACACCTTTAACTGTGGCTTGATACACAGTAAGAGGTAGAAGTAGGTTTTCAAGGCACTGGGATAAACACCAGCAGGTGTTAAGGTTTTCACATCACAGTGCTTGTCAAAGGAACAAGAGCAGGAGCTAGTAAAAAAAGTTGGCAACTCCAACTGGAAGTTTTCACCCAGTCAGTGCACTCACGGGCATCATGGAAAGCAGGGAAAAGGTCTTCCAAGAAGCACTTGGCCAACCATTGAAACAGGACATGAGTCTAGAGCAGGCCTGTAGCCACAGTGGGGCATTTAGGGGGCAGTGCCCCCTCACTCGTGGCCCATGCCCCACAACACCCGCTGCCCCCGCCCTTACCTGCCAGCTGCACTTGTTCGCCTCGGCCACTACGGGAGAAGGAGAGCCGTCCGGTCAGTGCAATCAGTACTCGGGGAATATGTGCTCTGTGCTTAAGTAGCGGCAGGCCTCACCTGCCCGCTACTCTAGCAGAGAGCACATACTTGCCAAGTTTTAATCACACTGACTGGCCAGCTCTCCTTCTCCTGTAGCAGCCAAGGCAAACGAGTGCAGCCAGCAGGTAAGGAAAGACCCTTCTCTTCTTCGTCTGCCCGCTGACAGGATCTCTCTCGCTCTCTCCACCGCCCCCCTCTCTCCTCCACTCCCCCCCCCAAGATTCCCCAAAGTCCCATCACCCAAAATTTTCTGGCTACATACATGGTCTAGAAGGACCTTCTGTTATTAGCCATGATATTTAGGAAAGGAACCTCCATGTACAGAGGCAGCGTACCTCTGAACACTCACTGGGGGCAAAGCCCACCAGAGGGCCGAGCATTTGGCTGCATTCTGTGAACGACAGGGATCTGCACTTTGGTCCGATCTAGCTGTGCCGAGCATCTGAGCTGAGCTGATCCTTTTTTGGCTATTTTTAATGCCAGGAAAGGCAATCTGCCTTGGAGACTGCAGAGCGTCTCTGAGCATGCACAGAATGCCTTCCCCCTTCCCCTCTGAGCAGCCATAAAGCACACACCCCCGCGCGCGCCACACACACACACCCCCTAATTTTGGAACTTGAACTTAACCCTTGCCTGCCTGCCCGGGCTTTGTGGAGTCAGTCTTTCTCTCTCCCCCCACCCCTCTCTCCCGTCCTTTCCTCACCTCTGCCTCTCGAAGACCGTCCGGCTCCAGCCTTCCGAGGCTAGCCCCGGCGCAGAGCTGGAGCAGAGGCATCCAGAGGAGCTGCGGGACCAGAGAGGGGGCCATCGCCAAGCCGGCGCCGCTCTGCCAGCCCAGCCGAGGAGGGAGCCGAGAAGCGCAGGCCAGATCTCCCTCCTTCCCTCCCATCCGGCTGGGCTGGCTGAGCACGCCCAGTTGGGGACAGGAGGGAGGCAAGCAGGCGGCTGGCGGGGAGAGAGAGAAAGAACCACCCTGCTGCCGCCGCCGCCTCTCTTTCTCCAATCTCTTTTTAAAAGTTTAAAAGTTTGAGGAAAGAGCCCTTTCCCTTCCAGAACGGAGGTGCCCTTAAGAGCCGTGTGTGGCAGGCAGAAATTCAAATGGTGTGCAAATAGTAACAAGTCAATTTTCCTCTCTCTCTCCCCCTGTGGTCATTTAGTAGCATTTGATTTGGTGGTTGATAGGATGAGATCATATTAGCTAACCAACCGGGCTTATCTGAAGAAGTGAGCAGTGACTGACGACAGCTCCTACCCTACCTCAAATGTTGTCAGTCTTTTTTAAGGGGCTGCTGGACTCTTCTCTACTGAAGCCGGACTTTGATTTTGGTTTGTGGTTGTTGTTTTTAACTGCTGGATTGAGTTATTTTAGGCCAACTTGATCGTTTGGGAAGGTGTTGATTTTATTATTTGTTCATTTGCAGACTTAGAACCAGTGTTCCGTCTAAGCTGAGTTAGTGTGAGCTAGCTCGCAGTTTTTTAGCCTCCGGCTCACACATTTCTGTCTTAGCTCAGGAAGGATGGCTCCAGAGCTAATTTATGCAGTAGCCAAATCACAACAAAAGTCCGCATGGTCAAAGCAATGGTATTCCCAGTAGTCATGTATGGCTGCGAGAGTTGGACTATAAGGAAGGCCCGGAGCCGAAGAATAGATTCTTTTGAACGATGGTGCTGGAGAAGACTCTTGAGAGTCCCTTGGACTGCAAGAAGATCAAATCAGTCAATCCTAAAAGAAATCAACCCTGACTGTTCCCTGGAAGGCCAGATAATGAAACTGAAGCTCAAATCCTTTGGCCACCAAATGAGAAGGGAGCACTCACTGGAGAAGACCCTGATGCTGGGAAAGATTGAAGGTCAAAGAAGGCAGGGACGGCAAAGGATGAGATGGTTAAACAGTGTCATAGATGCAACGAACATGAAGTTGAGCCAACTTCAGAGGACAGCGGAAGACAGGAAGGCCTGGCGGGATCTGGTCCATGGGGTTGCAAAGAGTCGGACTCGACTGTGCGACTGAACAACAAAACAAATCACCTGCTCACAACTTTAATGCCAGTAGCTCACAAAGTAGAATTTTTGCTCACAAGGCTCCACAGTTTAGAGGTAGCATTGTTTATAACCCTCTTCTCCACTGCCCTGATCAGGGAAACCAAGGTAGCTAATGGATTAAATGCATACAGCATAAAAATGCATCTTAAAAACCATAAAAACCAAACAAGGATACAATGTTAAAACACTTAAAACCAAGCTAAAATATTCATACAGTTCAACAAAATCCACATTCATAGAAACAACGGATCAAAACTTTGGGCAGGAAGGAGGAATCACTGAGGGGATGCCAGAAGAAATGAAAAGCCCTTCATCCACTGGCAGAAGATGGTAACATAAAGGGACAGACTAGTCTCCTTGGGATGAGGGTTTTAGAGTCTTGGGGCCACACCCAAGAAGGCCCCGTTTGCTACCCAAAAGAAGAGAGAAGAAAAGAGATTGGGGTTTAAACCCCGCACTTCGCTACCTGAAGGAGTCTCAGAGCGGCTTACAATCTCCTTTCCCTTCCCCTCCCCACAACAGCCACCCTGTGAGGCAGGTGGGGCTGAGAGAGCTCTTCC